CCGGCACCTGGAACGCGCTCAGAGTGGGAAGATAGAATGAGCCGGGCGGAAAAACCTGCGGAAAGTGAGGATTTAAAAAATGGCCCTGATACATGGGGAATTTTGCCCTATTTTAGGGCTACCCAAAAAATCCAGGGTAGGGTTAGGGTTAGCAAAGCTAAGGTAGTTCTGGCGCTTCTGACGCCTGGAACGTGCTTAGAATGGGCAGATAGAATGAGCCGGGCTGAAAAACCTGCGGAAAGTGAGGATTTAAAATTGGCCCTGATGCATGGGGAATTTTGCCCTATTTTAGGGTTACCCAGGAAATCCAGGGTAGGGTTAGGGTTAGCAAAACTAAGGTGGTTCTGGTGCTTCTGACGCCTGGAACGTGCTTAGAATGGGCAGAGAGAATGAGCCGGGCGGAAAAACATTTGGAAGGTGTGGATGTTGGGAATCTGTATGACGCGCGGGGAATTTCAGTTCGAAGTTAGAGTTGCTCCATGCATTGCAAAGAATTTTACCAGTACCTTATTTTATTTTTTACAGTTTTTTTTACCACCCGTACCCTCAGTTTTCCAATGTGTTCATATTGCAAATTAACAGAATTTTGATGTAGTTTAATGTTTCTAGTGGCCAGTCACTTTTCAAAGTGCTTACATCGTCACTTCCCCCTTGTATGTCTTACATAATCTGGTTATGCCCAACATGGTAGATTTTTTAAATTTTTGCTGTATTTACAGATTACAAACTTCACATTTTCTGGGTGCAGAATGTGAACACTCTCTGCAGATTATTTTAATCATTGAGATCTCACGCTAGGGTCTCCTCCGCAGGCCTCCGCTCGTGGTGACGGTGGCTGCTGCCAAACATGGCCGGTTCTTAATGTTTGAATATCCTCTTCGGCCAACACGGATGTTCAAGGAACTTGACTGTGTTCCCTCTCCGTAGGCTTGTTTCTGCGCCACATGATCCTGGCCTACAATAAGCTTTCCTTCAGCCAGGTGTACAAGCTTTACACGGCGCTCCAGCAGTACTTCCAAAATGATGAGAAGAGGAACGGAGCAGATGAGACGGAGATGGAGCTGACCCAGTGCGACGAGCTAGAAGGACAAATGGAGAAGGACGAATTCGACGGGCCTTTCAGGTTATTCTGAACATTCGCTTACAAAACTCACCCCGTACCCTGTTTAATAGTGAAATCCTCACAATCTCATCCTCAAGCCAATTCAGCTGAAACCCTTTTACTTGCACTTTCTCAGGGTGCAGCTGTGTGCCTTTCTAGACAGGAAAAAGCTCCTAGAACTTTCACCGTTTCTCTGTCAGCTTGGCTAGTCGGGGGATGCTGGGACCTGTTGCACTTTTGCCTGTCCAAGCATGCATTTATTCACTTTATAAAGGTGTAAGATATTGTGATTGTAGGACAAATCTTACAATCTGATGCACGTACAAAAAAGGGAAATTCCCGAATTGTCTGAGGAACTCGAAAACTCGCAGGTTGTTTTGTGATGTTTGGTTTTTCCTAATGCAGGGATTATACGTTTGGATTTTGTGGGGATTTATCTCCTGGACCAACACGGCTAGCTTTGCTCTTACGTGCCTTGCAGCATCTTGAAAAAATTTACTGTGGTCTTTTGTTTGTTTGTAGTGAGGAAGAAATATCTTGCAACGGGCCACTTTCGCAGAAGCAAGCGGAATATTTCCTTTCTCAACAGGTATGTCTGTTGCTTACATTGAGGCTGCCCGTCGAGGGAGATGCATTTTCGCACATTCCCTACTTGCGAAAGTAGCCCTGTGGCTCTGAGCGAGAGGGTGAATTGAATTAAAGCCTGGGTAAATCAAGCTGCCCGTGCTCAGCACTGTGAGGACCTGACTTGGGCACCAGGGGGCGCTGTGCCGCTGGAATGTGGCTGCAGAGAAGGCTTGTGCTCCCATCTTCGCTCCGTGGGTGTCAGGGAGCAGGCGACGGGAACTGGAAGAAGGCCTGTCCCAAGACCGTGCGTACACAGGCAGGTTTGCTGGAGGGCAGGTGGTCCTGGCAGCACCCCGAACCTAAGCCGTAAAACACAGCTCCTCCCAAGGTTGCTTCTGCAGTAAAATCCCAACAGCAGTACATTAATAAAAGCCATCAGCAGGACCAGTAAATCCATCGCAAAGGGTATTGGATGTCTAAACCTCAGTTGCCACGAAATACTCAGAACAGTCCGATGAATCCTGCCCAGGAAGACTCTAGAGAAAGGAGTAAGCCGTACACTCGCAGTGATGGGGCCTGGTGCCCCCTCCCCCCAGTGGCAAACCGTTCCAGAGGTGTGGGACTGTCGTGGACAATTTATTTATTTACCTCTGTTCCCCCCCAGTGCCGCACCCCTCCGTCAAGTGCTTGCTCGCTCGCTTGATTCCGCGTAAGTGAGAACGTTGCTCATCTTGACATACAAGTGAAGACTTCAAGTAGTGTAAAGATAGCGCACGGACTGCTCCATGCTCAAATTAGAGTTGTGTGAGAGAGGCATTCTTCCCGAAATCCGTTAAGCCAGCTTTTTCATCTCACATAATCAAATCAGCAGGAGCCTCTCTCCTTTTCTCTCTCTCTCACACACACACACTCTCTTTCAGTCTCTCTTTGAGCATATTACAATAAAGCTTTGGCTAAATCTCTCCATGGTAATCTGAAAACATGCTGTTGGTTTCTTTTCGCATAACGTGAAAGGGCTCAGTGGTGCCGGTGGTACATTAAATTGTTTTAAAAATCCAGGCAAATCCACATTTCTCTTTCTGTGCCCACTCAGGTTGACAGGTTTTTATTCAATTCCAGGCATCCTTATTGAAAAATGATGAGACAAAGGCACTTTCTCCTGCATCCTTACAGAAGGAGCTGAACAACCTGTTAAAATTTAACCCAGACTTTGCAGAAGCGGTAGGTCTGGGTTGGTTTTCCCTGCCTCTCCCCACCCCGACTCCCCACCACGGCATTTTAAGCATGTCCCTTTGCAAGTGTTTCTACCCACAGCTGGTTTGGTGGTGTTTGTTCCCAGCATTATTTAAGCTACCTAAACAGCCTCCGCGTCCAAGATGTCTTCAGCTCGACACACAGCCTCCTTCACTACTTCGACCGCTTAATTCTCACTGGTGCGGAAAGCAAAAGCAACGGGGACGAAGGCTACGGGCGCAGCCTCAGATACGCGGCGCTCAACCTGGCTGCCCTGCACTGCCGCTTCGGCCACTAGTGAGTCTTCTTTTCCCCGCCATCATGTTTTTTCTCTTCTTCCTGCCTCCTTGCCCGTCTCCTCCTCCAGACTCTTTGCTCTGGCTCCGTGGCTGATGGAAGCCGTGGGAGTGATGGCTCAGCGGACCGTCGGCTGAGTGAGCAAGGCACCCGGGTGGGAGACCCCCAGGTTGCCAGTCACGCCAGCAAGGGAGGCCACGCAAACGGGGAGGGCCTTTGTCTCCGCCCGCTGCTCTTCCCCACCGCAGAGGGATTTGTCCAGCGTCTGCAAACTCAGCGGGAGTCCAGCTTCCGTGCTCGGCACTTACGCCAAAACCTAGAAGCCAGGGAGAGAGGAGGAGAGACCTGCATGATACATTCTCATAGGGGCATTTTGATACCAGGCCACCCCCCCCCCCCGTATAAGCATGCATGCATGCGCCCTGGCCACCTTTCAGCTGCCTCCATGACATCTTTTCTTCCTGGTAGCACCAGAAGAGGTCTTGGAAAGAGCTGGCAAGGTTGCTGGGCAGGCGTGAGGCTGCCCAGCGTAAGAGGAAGAGGTGCCCAGGTGAGACGCACAAGAGCACCCACGGGAGAAACCTGGTCCCCGTGGCGTCCTGGCGGCCACTCTTGGCCCCCTTTAGGGCCATTGTTACCGATGTTACGAAGGCGGCTGCTATTGTTAGGGCTGCTATTACCAGGGTGTTTCTAGAACAAACAATATTTCTCTCTTTTCAAGTGAAAGCCATCAAAGAGTGGCTTGCAGTTTACCCAGTGAGGGGAAGAGGGGAAATCCTATTAAAAGGGCAGTCCTCTTCAGAGCAAGCAGCTCAGTACAGAAAAGAAAGAAGGGAGGAAAGGAAAGGAAAATGGAGGCCAGTGTTGGAGTGGGTAAAGTTGGCAGTCAAGGAAGACAGGAGCTGGGAGCTCCACCGAGGGGAACAGTTGGACTGGCCCAGTTCTTCCCGGGTGCTGGACGCTGCACCCCTGCCCACCACAGCGAGCCCCCGGCTGCACGCCGCACTAAGAGGCCCCTGTGCTCCTGTGCTTTCTTTCCTCGTAGCCAGCAGGCTGAGCTGGCCTTGCAGGAAGCCATCCGGATCGCCCAGGAGTCCAATGACCACGTCTGCCTGCAGCACTGCCTGGTAAGCAGCGGGAGGCTCCCAGGCGAGGGGTCGGGGTGTCCTTTGCCTTCTGGCTTGACTGCAGAGAGGGTGAACGGGTCCCTCGCGCCTGAGGACGGGGCTGCCTAGGAGCCTCGTGCGCATCCTGATCATCAGGGTGTTGGAGCACTTGATGCGGATGAAGCACTTCGAATTGCTTGAGGAGCCGTCTTTGAAAAGGGCTCCCTGGGGGCTGCCAGATGTGAGAGACCCACCACCCCCATCATCCCCAGCCAGCGCAGGGAGCCGGTGACTCTACACGTTCCATGGCAAGTGGTTTCCTTGCCCCATCCCCATTCGCTCTTTTCTTGCCAGAGCTGGTTGTACATCTTGGAGCAGCAGAAGTCAGACAGCTGTGCGCTGTTGGAACACTCCGTGAAGAAAGCTGTGTACTTCGGATTACCGGTAGGCCTCTCATACCTTCACCTCGTGCCGTGGCTTCAGCCCTGCCGTCCTCCTTCCCCAGACCTTGTGTCTGTAGGGGAAAGAAACACACCCCAAGCTTGTGTGGCTTGTGCCAGTTTCCAGGCCCTCCTGTCGATTCATGCCTGCCTCTTTTAAAAGCACGCTCTTTTATCGCCTTGTCTTTCTTCCCCGTTCCCAGTATTTAGCTTCCCTGGGGATCCAGTCCCTGGTTCAGCAAAGAGCTTTCGCTGGGAAAACTGCCAACAAGCTAATGGATGCCCTGAAGGACTCAGACCTCCTGCACTGGAAGCACAGCCTGTCTGAGCTGATCGATATCAGCATCGCTCAGAAGACGGCCATTTGGAGGCTGTACGGCCGCAGGTACAGCCGGGATCGCGGGAGCCACGCGGGGCCGTCTCCGCGGGTGCCTGCCCAGCCAGCCTTTAGAAAGACGGGCTGCAGGACACAGCTCCCCTCTCCTTTCACTAAAGCGAAAACACACTGGAAAAAGAGATGGCTGGAGAAACTATTTCCAGAAGGGCGCAGGCCATCTTTCCCCAACCTGGAGCCCTCCTGTGGCTGAGGACTACAGCTGCCATTTTCCCCAGTCAGCTGGGGATTCGGGGAGTCATAGCCCAGAGCGTCTGGAGGGACCAAATCGAGGAACATGGTGGAGGCCACCCCTACACAAGTCAGAAGTGGGTGGGGTGGCTGAACGAGGCCGCCAGCGGCCTGAGTCCCTGTGAGCAGGGAAACCTGGAAGAGGGATGCCCCCCGGAGGAGCGCGGCGCAGGCCTGCAGCCGGCGCCAGGCCGCTGAGGACCGCCTGAGCCGCGCGCGCTGCCGCCTCGCTGGCTGCCCCTGACGCCAGCCCGCTCCGCTCTCGCTCTCGCCCTAGCACGATGGCGCTGCAGCAGGCCCAGGTGCTGCTGAGCATGAACAGCCTGGAGGCGGTGACCGTGGGCGTCCAGCAGAACAACACCCAGTCCTTCGCCGTGGTGCTGTGCCACCTGGCCGAGCTGCATGCCGAGCAGGTGGGTGGCGGCGTCCGCGGAGGGCCTGTGCCGGCACGTGGCTGCTCGGGGGCCGAGCGGGGCTGCCGTTCCACAGCTGAGCCCCGGGGAAAGGGAGAGGGCGGAGCGTCCGGCCCTCTTCTCTCTCCTGGCTGCAGCTGGAGAGGCCCCACTGCCGCTCTCCTCCGCCTGCTCGCAGGGCGCAGCCTCAGTCGGCAGTCCGGGTTGAACTCGGGCCCCCATCAGCCAGGATGGTCAGCAGCGAGGGATAATGGGAGTTGAGGTCCAAGAACGGTGGAGCACTGAGGGTTCCCCGCCCCGTACGAGAGCACACCCTTGCGGGAAGCCAGTTGAAGTTTCCCTTCCTGTATCAGACAAAGTGGAGCAAAACGACAAGGTGCTTGTCGAGAGGCAGCAAGGTGCTGCTCTTTTACACCTGCCTGTGAAATGTACGCCTGTCTCATTTCCCCCTGTTACATTTTATATTGTGATTTATCTTGGAAATTGCCTCATGGCAAAAAGGTTGAAAATCATCTGGAAAGGGCTGTACACTAAATAAATAGATCTATAGAGGGAGCATCTGGCTTTGGTCAAGTGCTTTCTGTTCTCTTTCCGTGGGACTGGAGAGCACCTCTCCTTTACATACATTTTCTATTCTTCCTTTCGTATTAGAGCTTCTGCAGTCATCAAGATCTTGTATCTTGAGCATGAAGTTCTTGATCATCCACTCCAGTCTGGTTTTTCTGTACCTCAGGGCTACTTCACCGCTGCATCCGAAATACTGAAGCACCTGAAAGAGAGATTTCCGCCCAACAGTCAGCATGCACAGGTGAGGTCCAGTATTGGACAGTCATCGCCTTGGGTCCCTGCCCTTTAGTCTAAATTTTGCTCGTGGAAGTTGGGGAAAGCTCCTCTGTGCAACACGAGAAGCGTTACCGTCCTTTGCCCAAGCCAAGATTGGTCAACCGGCAAGAGGAAGTTGGGCCCTGCAGGTATATGTTCCTGTGTCACTGTGTGTGGATTGTTATTCATTTATTTCTTGCTCAGAGGCAGTAGCGTTGGCATGTTGTTTGCTGAGGAGAGAGTAATAACCGTTTAAAAATGAAAGAAAGGGACAGATAGGACAGTTCCGGTCACCACATTTTCCAAAAGGATATGGCCGAACCGGAAAGAAGGATACAAAAGGACAGCCGAAATGACCAGGGAGTTGGAGCAACCCCCTAGAGCATTCTTGGTTCCCAAGGCTCCTGTTAACCTGCTCCCAAATGCTCTTGCCAGCTCTGGATGGTCTTCGATCAGAAAATCCAGTTCGACAGAGTCATGAACGACGGGAAGTACCACGTCGCCGACTCACTTGTGGCTGGGATCACCGCCTTGAATAGCACCGAGGGCGTCTACAGGTAAATAGCGTGGACCGGGAGGAACAGGGACCTGCTCTGGTGCCCACTGGAATGGGATTAGCGTTTTCGCGGGATTAAAATGCCTCTGGGATCAAGCTGCACGGGCACTTTTTCTGCTTGTAGAAATGCTTCCCTCCTCCTCCGGTCCACGCCGCATGGAAACAGAGAAAAGGTTAAGCACCTGGCATGCAGAACGTAATTCCTGAGCACGGTTCATCGTGCCTGGCCTCTTGAGGCACTCGCCGCCCTCCGTCGTGGCTGAGCCAGGGCTCTGCCTCAGAGGGTTGGTGAGGGCTACCGCTTGCGTGACAGCCCTGAAGGCCAGGACCGTTACATGGCTCAGCGAGCTCAGGAGAAATCTTCTCCAGACACGGCTTGCTCCCAGCGCAGGTCTTGGCGGTCCAGCTCCTCTCTGAGCAGCAGCAGCTGCTCCTCCAGCAAGAAGGGCTTTCCCACGACCTGCTTCTCCGTCTTCCTGAAGCGGGGATGGCAGAGATGGGATGGGACCTGCCGCCCAGGAAGGAGATGCACAGCCACCGAGCTGCGGGCCTTCTGGGCAAGCGGCCTTTGGTGTGCGCGCTCGACCCGGCCACCCAGGACGAATGCTCTGATTGCAGCGAGGGCGTCGTCTCCAAGCCCGAAACGGGCAAGGTATATTGGAATTCTCCAATATATTGGAAAACCATATTCCTCCATCATGCCTAGTTTGGGGGTGGGGGGAGGGTTGCAAATCCTGGCTGGAGATCAGTATGGTCTGACGTACTGAGTTGTAGGGCAAAGATGCCATCCGTTCATATTTTGCTAAGAAATTTTTAGGCTTACATTTCTTGAATTTGTTTCCAAATCAGAGTGGACTTAAGCTTCACAATATTTGCAGTCCTCAGAATTTTGCAGTGGTGCTTTCTAGAACAAAATATGGGGATTCAGGGAAAGCATGTAGAAAAATGTGCATATTAGCAGAAATTGCATCAAAAACGTATATATTCATGCCATCCCAGTGACTTATAGATTCCGCAGCCTGGTGTCTTCCAGATGTCTTGGACTACAAATCCCAGAATTTCCTGTCCCTCTGCACTTGGAACAGACCCATGTGGCAGAGGCTGCACTGTAGTTTCACCAAAAGCAATCTACTCTTTCAGCGGTCGACTTAGTTCATCTGTGATCTGGTCTTGAGATAAAACGTTTTGAAATCGTTATCACCGCTTTTGTGAGTGAATAGTTGCAAGGCTTTTGAGCAGCTCGTGAGCTTGGAGACTGGCCCACTGAAATTACTCCCGGTTAAAAGTGCTTCATTTGGCCTGAATTATAGTGGCCCCTCAGTGAGTGAAAGAGTGTGCATTTAATGTTTGTGTTCTCTCTTCCAGAAAAGCTGTCCTACTTAAAGCACAGAATCAGATGTCCGATGCTCATAGACTCCTGCAGAAGCTCTTGATTCACTGCCAGAAAATAAAAAGCACCGAAATGGTGATTAGGTAGGGTGACTTGCAAGTTAGAATGTTGGACAGAGGAGCTGGGAGTCGGGGTCCTAGTCCCCATTCAGCTGTGAAGCTCACTGGGGGAATTTGGGCGGCCCCTCTCAGCCTAACCAACTCGGCCGCACTGCTTTGTGAGGATCAAGTGGACAGGAGAACGTTGTAAGCTTCTTTGGGTTCTTTGCAAGAGGAGGAAAGGACAGGCGTAAACGTAACGCAGTCGTCATGGGTAAGACGCGGCTGCCTGATCCCTCCGGGCTGCTTCTTCACAGCCCTGCAGCCGTGCGACCGGGCTCCAGGGCCCGCTGAGTTTTCTCGCCTCCAGTCTTCTCCAGCTCCTGCGCACTTTGATCCAGAGTCCAGCTTCAAGTGGGATGAGGGGACAGGGTGGAATCTTGCCGACTGGTTGTGTTTCATTCAGCTGGAGCAGCGAGTGGGTTGGGCAGATGCAGAAGTCTGTGGTCATAATGGGAGTTGAACTGCAGCCTTCCCTGGTTTTTTCCATGTCGGAGCTGCAGGGAGGGTGTCATGTTCTTTCAGGCTTCCCTGGGACAACGGGTCTTGTAATCCCGTTCAGCGGCACGCCAGGCAGGGAAAGGCTCCTCTGAGGGTGTGCCAGGGACCCTCTCTGCTTCCTCCCCGAGTCTTTGGAATGAAGATGGGAGATCCCGTGCAAAACAGGAGGCTGCTTAGAAGGGGCTGGGGCTGCATGCCAACAAAAGTTGTCGTTTTCTGCCTTCAGTTCAGCAGCAATGTGTGTTCCCCCTTCTCTCGATTAGCATTCTCCTCTCCATCGCTGAGCTCTACTGGAGGTCTCTCTGCCACACGATAGCTCTGCCCATCCTGCTCCAGGCGCTTGCGCTGGCCAGGGAATATCGCCTCCAGTATTTAGCCTCCGAAACCCTGCTCAACTTGGCTTTCTCACAGGTATCTGTGGCCCAGATTATTCACTTTATCCGCAGTATTTTTATGCCACTCCTCAGCCAAAGAAGTTTCCGCGGTCGTTTATGTACAATCTATCAATCAATCAAGGCAGCCCTTGTCCGTGGAGTTGCCATCCAGAAGGCAAGATGCTCAAAGAAAAGGGAACGGGGAGAGAAGAGGCAAGGGAGATTATTTTCAGCAGGGCTGGTAGAGCAACCCTGCTCTCCATCGTATCCCCCCGAGATCAGCCTGCTGGAATGGGGGCAGGTGGGTGCGGTAGTTCCTCACAGCCGCTGTTGCAACTGCCTTTTTTCCTCCTCCATCTCCCCCTTGTTCAGAGGACGGCTCCCTGCCCCAAGGAGAATCCAGTATAGAATTTGTCACAAAGAAAGCAACAAAGGAAGAGGCTAATGCAAAGAGCAGGCCCTATAGTTCAGCGAGAGAACGTTACTGTGGGGCACAGGAAGTGAGGGACTGTGCCAAAGGCTTGTGGAAAAGGCGGGTTTCAAGGAGATACGAAGGCAGTGAGAGAGGCTGCATCCTGCCATTGTTTTGGTTTGGGGAGAAATGGCTTACTTCAAAAAGGGAAAAATGCACAAAACAACCGTTTTGCAAGGATTGGGCCGCAGAGTAACATTTCGCTCTTGGGGGTCTTCCCCCTCTCCCTCCCAGCTCATCCTTGGCATCCCTGAGCAAGCGCTGAGCATTCTGCACATGGCAATAGAGCCCATCCTGGCGCACGGAGCAGTGCTGGACAAGGGCGCTGCCATGCTCCTGGTGGCCAAGTGCCAGGTCGCCTCTGCGGCCTCCTATGCTCCGCAGAAGAAAGCAGAAGGTAAGCATCCCCGGCACAGGCCTCCTTCGGTCCTTGGGCTCAGCGAGGAGGAGAGTCAGCCAGTGCCCGCCCGCCAGGACGGGGGCTGCCTGTCCAGACCTCCTCGCCCCCACCTGCGCGCCAGCGGCAGCTTCCGCGCCCTCTGCCGGGGCTGCCCCACCGCGAGCGGGTTGCAGTGACCTGGCTCGGAGGCCGCCGGAGGTCGAGCCCAGCAGCCAGCCGTCCTCCACCGGCGACGGGCAGCTCGCGCTTTTGGATCACTGCGTGTTCAGTGCCGCTGGTCTTTCTGCGGCTGCAGGTCCCGATGAGGATTTCCTCTTTGCTGCTGCTTGCTGTTTTTATTCATTCGTGCTGCTTTTCATTTCTGATGTGCTGAATGTTAGCCATGCAACTTAAGCAAGGGAGCTCAGAATTCTCTTTCTTTAAAACCACACTTTCGACGTGCTCTTTACACAGCTCTGGAGTCGGCCATCCTGAACCTCAATGAAGCCAAAACCTATTTTGCCAAGGTGGACTGTAAAGAGCAGCTGCGCGACGTCCTGTATCTTCAGGCTCGGCTCTTCCACAGCCTGGGAAAGACCCGGGAGAGAAATCAGTGTGCCGTGCTTTTCCGCCAGCTGCACCAGGAGCTCCCCGCTCGCGGAGTCCCCTTGATCAATGCTTTCAAGTGAGGCCTTTAAGCAGGGGGACACGATCCACGGAGAAGGCTGATGGCCCCAGCACCCCTTGAAACAGAGGGGGAGCTGGCTGGAGCATCCAGTGTCTGCAACAGCCAACCCCACCTTTCTGCAGATTTCTTGTCCTGAGCAGTCTTCATTTTTCGGGAATCATCGTCAATAAATGGGCGTTTTCTTTTTGCAAAACAAAGTGTGTTTCTTTCACAGGGGAAACGGGGCGGGAAAGTTGGGTGTTTCTGTGCGTCTCACATGTTGTCTAGTCTTGTTATAATTCGTGAGGACGTTCCCTGCATTCCTGGTGAGCAGTTAAGTGGATCTCATATGGGGAGTGTGCTTAGACACACAGTAGAATCGCTGTACACCTGGCATTGGCAGACTTGGAACAGCCCAACAGGCTGCAGAAGAGGGGGGGACTGCGGGGCTGGTCCATTCAGCCGCCCACTGGGGACCGGGCTCAGTCTGTGGCAGCAGAAGGCCCGTTATTGAGGGGGGAACGGAGCTGGAACCAGCACTGCTTTCCCAGCTTATCTAGACCAGTGTGGCTTTCTGCCCAGCTGCCTTTTTTCGGTTAACATCGCGCTGTGAATGTTGGCAGGGAACGCAGTGTTTCCAAAACGAAAGGTGCCTTGCATTCCAGAGTCCTTCAGCACTTGGACTGCTTTCCAAATGGAGCAGCCCTGGATTGGGGGTGGGGGGTGGCTGTCGTGGTTGTTTTTGCTCTTACATTATTGAAGCCTCCCTGATGGAGAAGTCTTTTCAGCTCAGCCTTTGAGCCGAAGCCCAGCCTCGAACGAGCTTTTAGCGCATGCAAGAGTCACGTCCATCCATCTTGCGTAGTCGTGCTGCTGAAAAATAGCTTTGTGATGTCTGTTTGAAGCAGACAGCTGGACTTTTTGTACACTTGACTGGTTGGAATCAATTTGTCTGGATGGAGGAACTCTTAAAACCTTGGCAGGGCCTTGCGGGGGCAGAGCAGATTGGCTGCAAGAAAACAGCAAGCCCTGTATTTATTCTGTAGTCTGCAAACCAACAAGAAGTGCCTTTCTCAAGCCGGAAGTCATTATATTTGTAGCACTGAGCTACAGTCTTAATCATATGTACAGTACCAGAAAGTTAAAATTCAGTCAAAATTTTCTACTGCACATGATCTGTGCAGATGAAACTCCCTGAATGGAGGTTTCTTTCAGGTGCCATTTCCTAATGACCCCCACTTTTTGAGTTGAGGCAGGTAGTGACAGGAAACGGCCTTCTCCAGTGGTGGCACCCTGCTTGTTAGACTATTGTCCCCAAGGGTTTTTTTCCCAAGAACTACCTTCCTTTCTTTGCTGCAGGGAAGTGGTTTGCAGCAGGTGTGGGCATGGTGATCGCATTATGCTAACAACCAAATATTTGCACAGCACTGTTGATATACATGTTACTTTAGAAAGAACCAGTTAAACATGTCCTGGCCTCATGGTTGCTCAGAGAAAGCATGCGAAATGAAAGCAGATAAACAGAAGGAAGACACAGTCGGCACCCACTTTAGCTTGGCTTCAAGGAGCCGTGTTCTCAGCCCACCTCCTGTGAATCCAAGGCCAAGGAAGACTGCAGAGTCCTCAGGTTAGGGCGTTCTTCCAAAGGCAAATTTTGCTCTTTCTCCATTAACTGTTGAAATGTTTATGTTTTGTCAGGTTTATTACCACTGGTTTTAACTCCCTTAATACTGGCAAAAATATCTCATGGGAAGTAGACAACTTAGTACATGCTTCCCACTGGATCAGCGGAGGTTAGCCGGGACCTCACTCTCTTGTGATGGCATTGTGGTTGTTTTTAACGTGGGGCAGAGTCCCTATCCTACCCCAGCCCCCAGCAAGAATGAGCCCCACTGCAAGCAAAGAACCTGGAAAGAAGCATGGCTGAAATGCAAGGTTCTCAGACTGATCTAGCTTGGAAGCAGTTGAGCAGCCAAAGCAAACCCGAGAAGTCACTCCCGGCCAGCATTCTCCTCTGCCGCCACCACGATTCAAAAGCCGAGAGAGCGCTTCTGCGGGTTTCGGCTCTGGCCCCCCGTTATCAGCAGGCGTGCAACCTTCATCTGCGAGTGCAATGCCCTTGCTGAGCCTGCGGACACAGCCGTGCCTCCTGGATGTTTGCCGAGCCTTTTGAAAACATGCTTAATTAGTCCACACTGAAAAGAAGGCTCAGCGTGAGCTACCGTTATTTTAATAATAGCTTGCATGGCGTGCTTCCTGGGGCCCGTGCCGCATTCCTGTCCAGCCTGTGGCCTGGATAGGTTTCTCTCACCTCACCATAGTTACCCCCCCTGATAGCTTTCGGTCCAGAGCGAGCGTCAGCACTGCCTTGTTAACAAAGGGCTTGGCCTCAAACCGATAGTGTGAGTGGCAGCCCGTGAAGGCAGGTGAGGAGAGATGGGTGTAGGCCACGCTTCCCCGCCTGTTCCATGCGAGGGAGTTGCTGCCACTTGGCAGAGCCAAACATGCTTCTGCCCAGGCCCGAGAGCCGCGGGCAAGAGCTCCATGGGCAGGGGCCGTTCTGTGCACGAAAGGCACCAGTGGCCACGGCTTTGCTTGGGACACGGCCTTTCCGCCTTCCTCTCGACTGCGAGAATTCTTTTCCAGGGCATGCGCCAACTTTGCATCAAGCATGGCTGCTCAATGCCCTAAACACACTGGGGTGTCTCTGCCCTTAGAATCGTAGAGTTGGAAGGGGCCCCGAAGGCCATCGGGTCCAACCCCCTGCTCCTGCAGGACACCAAGTTACTTGCTTGTTCAAAGACACTATCGAGAGTCATTCTTGGTTGCATGTGGGCAGGACTGACTGGACCAGGCGGAAGTGAGATTGCGACCGTGACACCAGCCTTCCCCAACCTGGAGCCCTCCAGCCATGTTGGACTGCAACCTCTATCATTCACAGCCGGGATGGACCATGGGAGTTTGATGATGGGGTTTGCATTCCGACGCATACGGAAGCCTCCAGGCTGGGGTAGCCGGCAGAAAAATCCTCTGTTCCAGGATGCCGTAGGCCTAATTAATGTTCTCGTCTGTCTCTGTATCCACCTAAGGACTAGCTGCACATCTGCTAGTTATGGAATAATTATACACTCCAGTTTACTGTTCTCCGATGATCAGGACTGAAGCTTGTTTCTCGTTTTCCAAAGGCGAACAGGGAGGCAGAGTGACGGATCCTCTCTGTTGCAGGGCGAGGGTGTTGTACTGGGACTCAGGCGATCCAGGTTCTAGGCCCCAGTTGGCTATGGAGCTCACTCTGTGATTTGGGGCAGTCATGGACTCCCAAACTCATCTACCTCACAGGGCTGTCACTCTGAGGATAAAACGGAGTGAAGGGCGATTGTGTAGGCCACCTTGGGTTCTTTGCAAGAGGAAGAAAGGCGCAGGAATGATGCACAGAAATGTACACAAACTCTCTATTGTTACTGCTTAACATTAAAAGTATATAATTACCTAATCCCCCTCTACCTTCCCAACCTCTGGTTTGTTCTTATGACCAGAGGCGTTGTCAGCAGCTGGCCCATTAGGGCTGGTCCCTGAATCTGTCACCCGGAGACCCACATTTCTGGCGGGCCACTCACCCCGCACCCGCAGTCCACAGGCACTCGGTCCAGGGCCGCTGCAGCACCCAGCCCCGCCGGATCAGCCGGCACCTGGCCCACTCGCGCGCCTTCCCCCTCGCATCTGCCAGCCCGAAGGCTTCGTCCGAATCCGCCCTGCGCCGCCCTGCGTGTGCCCCCTTGGACCAGAGGGAGGCCTCTCCGGGAAGCGGGGCGCGGGGCTCCGGAGCACGTGCAGCTCTGGGCATCCCTTCCTGCCCGCTGCTCGTCCCGGTCCCGATCCCGGGCCTGGGCTCAGCCCTTGGCCCACCCGGCGCCTGCCAGCCCGTCCGTGCCTGGAGCGGGGGCCCCGCGATCGCGGCCACCGCCCGAGCCCGCTGCGGCTGCGGGGCCTCGCCCGCGCTTCTGCGGCCGCCCCCGCGCCGCCCCTGCGCCCTGGCAGCGGAACCGGGAAGCCGGGGGGGAGGGAGGGAGGCGCCCAGTCCCCCCGCAGCGCCCGCCACATCTGGACCGCTCGGCGGCGCTCGCGGCGGCGCGCCGCAGCCAATCAGCGGCGAGCTGCTGCCGGGCCGCTCGCACGCCCTGGACAGGAACAGGCGCGGCGCGGCCAATCGGCGCGCAGCTGCCGCATCTGGCGCCTCGCGAAGGGCGGGCCGCCGCAATCGCGATCGCAGTGGAGACCCCGCTCGGGCGCCGCGGGCGCCGCGCCTGCTCCCGGCCGCCCGCCCGCCCAGCCGAGCGCCGCGGCAGGTGAGCCGCCCGCGCCCCCGCCCGC